CATTAAATTCATACATATTTATTAGGCAAATTACGGCCAACCCCCGACTTATGGTTGAATTGCGAAAACCCCATTTATGTTTGGGTAGTTACAGCTACCTCCTCAACTATGTATTATATTACGAAAATATCCCTCCAGAGGTAAATTTAGCGATGTTAAATCGGTAAAACATAACCGAAATTTCGGTACGCCAACATTTCATATCGTTTACAGAACTAAATATACGATTTGGTTCGGTAAATAACTGAACTACATAAATTTTATGTAAAAATATTTAAAAGGAGGGGTGACTATAATTACCCAAACAAGAGGGTTTTTTTCTTTGTAATTTGACCATACCACAGGGGGTTGACCGTAATTTGCCCCTATTTATTAAAAGATGTATGTTGAAGCCTTAAACGACATATAATTTGAAGAAAAGAAATGCATAACTGTTGAAGTTGCTTAATCGTCACCAACTCTCATTAGGAGAGTTGGTACCTAACCTTACCAATAATCATCTGTTGATTAAATTAAAATTTGTGCAAATTCAACTCTAATTAATAATCAAATAAACTTGCACCCTATAATTCAAATTTGAGGATAAAACAAATTAAGTTTGAAGAATGATGTGCTTTACTTAATTCGATTCGTTCACACTATAATTAGTATTTACTATAACACTATTTTCGTAATAAATCGGTTCTCTTTTTATCAAGAAAAGAGTTTATTGCAATTACTACCCCTGTGAAAATCGCAACTGCGTGTTCCCCTGTCATAAAAAAATTAGCAAATACCCCCCTGTATTTATTTTTAGGTAGCATACTCGACCCATTCCCCTTTTTCCTGTTGACCGGTTGTGAAAAGACAGAAATACCCTGAGGAGATTCCTGAAAAAAAAACTTGGGGACCAAATTGAATTACTGAAAATTTGTAGAAACTTAATCAAATAATAAGTTAGGGACTGAATTGTAATTTTCAGGAAATACATAATATTTCTAAAATTATGGGGCTGAAAACAATATTTTGGAGCCAAATTAAAATATAAAATTATTTAGGAACTGAAAAATAATTAGAAATTTAAGTTAATATGATAATTATTCGTTTAATAATATTAAGTACAAACATTAAAACATAAACAAAGAAAATTCTTATATAGATAAACATAAATCCAAAAATTTGGATCGAATTGCAATTTTTAAAATTTCTTTAACAAACGTAAATAACACAATTTTTTATAGAAAAAAAAAGAAAAAAAAAAACATCGTCTTCCCCAAATTTCTTAATCCCATTGAAATTGCCACCACTACCACCAAATTCCCACCACCACCACCACCACCGGCAATCACCTCGTTATGCCGCCGCCTCCAACCAGAGAGAAGAACATGTCTTCCCCTAATTTCTTCTTATTTCCCATTGAAATTGTTAGAGAATATTATATTATAGAACTCTCCTAATATTAGGATTCTAGTATGATTCGGTTACCTAAATTAGTTAGGATTTAGTTACCTAGTCAAACTCTATTACCTTGCAATATTTCTTTATATATATTCCATGTAATCAACCCATAACACAATGGGGGTTTCTATTCTATAACGTATTATTTCTCTTCTTTTCTATTCTTCCTATATGGTATCAGAGCACCAGGTTTAGGTTTTTTAACCTAGCCGCCTTTCTTCTCCATGGCGGTGAAAACCTAGCCGCCTTTCTTCTCCATGGCGGTGACCACCCAATTTTCTCCCTCCCCCGGTGGTGGTACTCTAATATTTTTCTTTATTTTTTTTTTCTATTTTTTTTTATGAACACCACCCAATTTTCTCCCTCCCCCGGTGGTGTATCTATCTTCTCTATCTTTTTCTATCTTCTTCTTCTTCTTCTTCTTCTTCTTCTTAATTTTCTCCCACCCCCGGTGGTGCATCTTCTCTATCTCTTTCTTCTTCTTCTTTTTCTCCATGGCCTAAAACATAGCCGCCGCTTCTCTTCTTCTCCATGGCCGGCGACCACTAAACCAATTTTCTTCCTCCCCGGTGGTGGTACTCTATCTATCTTTCCTTTTCTATATTTTCTGTGAACACCACCCGAATTTTCTCCCTCCCGGTGGTGTATCTTCTCTATTTTATCCGTTCTTCTTCTTCCTCTTTTCTTCTTCATGGTCTAAAACCTAGCCGCCGCCTCTTCTCTTCTCCATGGCCGGCGAACACTACCCAATCTTCTTCCCCCCTCTCTCATCTCTTCTCTCTATCTCGATAAAAAAAAAAAAAATTCTCTCCATGTTATTATTATTTTTTTTCTATCATTTTGGCAGATATTTTCACGATGCTGGATTTTGCGGGTTTTTTGTCCAGTTTTCACGTTTGAAGTTTATTCGTTCCGACTGCGGGAGCGTGCTAGCAAGTGATTGTCCAGTCTTCACGTTCGTCACGTTTCGACTGCGGGGGCGTGTTAGAGAATATTATATTATAGAACTCTCCTAATATTAGGATTCTAGTATGATTCGGTTACCTAGATTAGTTAGGATTTAGTTACCTAGTCAAACTCTATTACCTTGCAATATTTCTTTATATATATTCCATGTAATCAACCCATAACACAATGGGGGTTTCTATTCTATAACGTATTATTTCTCTTCTTTTCTATTCTTCCTATAGAAATCGCACCACCACCACCACCTCCGGCAGTCACCTCTTCACGCCGCCACCACCACCGGCCCCACCTCTTTCCTTCCACAACATGTCTCCTCCACTCTTCTTGCCGCAGACACCGGTCCACCGCCAACTTCACCTCGCTGCCGCCTCCCATTCCACCTCCCACTTTCACCAGAATTTTCTCCTCTCTTCCGTCGCCTACGGCGGCGAGGAGCTGCAGAAATTGAGCGGCTGGTGAGCTTTGTCGAAACTCGGAAGTGAGTTTGTGGCGCCCCACAAACCCGATTATACCGTGAGAGAGTGGTGTATATGGCGCACATAGTGGTGGCGATTTGGTGTCCCCTTCCGTGGACTATGGAGGGAACTGTGGTGGTTTTGTTTAAGAATATTAAATATTAATTAATTTCTTTTTTAATTTATTACTTTATTAAAAAAAGGGAAAAAAAGAAAAGAAAAAAGAAAAAGAAAAAAAGACGTTGGGGGCAATTTTGTCATTTCCTGCAACAAAAGGAAGAAAAATCGCAGAAACCGCGCGTGAGACACACAATTTGCGAAGAGGGGGGTTTTCGCCTTTGACTAATAAATATAGGGGAGTATTTGCTAATTTTTTTATGACAGGGGGGAAACACGCAGTTGCGATTTTCACAGGGGTAGTAATTACAATAAACTCATCAAGAAAAACCAAGCTAATAGTGACAATGAATATTGATAAAGGACACACAAATATATATCTTACTAAGATTTATTTGGATAATAATTTTATTTGCTACAACCCTGTAACAAATCCCATCGTTTCCATCTCTTCCAATAGATGTGAATTAACAAGCCTTTTTTCTTTTTATGAAGTGAAACGACGAATCTCGAAGGAACGAGCAACTTTGCTTATTAGCTACATATATCAAACTTTTCATTTTCACTAAATTTTTAACAACCACATGAATATGTTGATACGTTGATGTTAGTTGTTATTGTTAATTTATGTTTCAAAATTTTATGTCGAAGTTAATGTGTTAAAAACGTCAACAAGATGACAACAAACATGACCAAATTGTCAACAAACTTCTGAAAATTTGCTTAAAATTAACTGCAAGATTAAAAAAAATAATGAAAATTAACTGAAAATTAGTAATGAGCTTTTGAAAGTTCTAGTGAACATGCGAGGATTGAGTATTTTAACATAATATGAGAGGGAATTTCTCAGAATTTCGGGAGCTGCTTGTCAACTCCTTTCCCTACCATTCACTTCGATTGAGGTAACACGAGCCATATCTCAAATGGCTCCTCTTAAATCCCCTGGCCCCGATGGGCTTTCGGTCATCTTTTATTCGAAATATTGGTCTATTTTTGGTGCTGATGTTGTTTCCTGTATTCTCGATTTTTTGAACAATAAAAAGTTGCCTTTCTCTCTTAATTATACTTGTATTGTTTTGATCCCTAAGATGAAACATTCGGAGAAAATCACGGATTATAGACCTATTAGCCTTTGCAATGTGATATATAAAATGGGGTCAAAAGTCCTAGCTAATCGTCTGAAAGTAGTCCTCGAGGATATGATCTCGCTAAATCAATCCGCTTTCGTCCCAAACCGTCTTATTTCTGATAATATTCTGGACGTGGCTTTTGAGATAAATCATTTCATTAAACTAAATTCTAATTCTAGAACTAATTATATGGCTATTAAGTTGGACATTAGTAAAGCATATGATCGAGTCGAATGGTCTTTATTGAAGCAAATTCTTTCTCATTTGGGCATTCCTACTGGTTTCATTGACCTAGTTATGTTATGTGTATCTACTGTTTCGTTCTCCTTCTTATTTAATAGCTCGCAATTTGGTCACATGCAACCCTCAAGAGGTCTTCGACAAGGTGACCCTCTCTCGCCATCTTTGTTCATATATTGGTGCTGAGGCACTCACTACCATGATCACCAAGGCTGTGGACCAGGGAAGCTTCCATGGAGTTCGGGTGACACCAACAGCCCCGATAGTTATTAGTTTTTCCTTTGCTGATGATACGTACACTTATTTTTGGAAAGGCGACGGAGGAAGCTGCAAGGGTTTTGAAGGACATTTTACAGAAGCATGCTAGAGTATTAGGGCAAGAGATCAATTTTGAAAAGTTCACGATGAACTTCAGCCCTGCCACATCTATATCGAAGATGAATGCTATTCACAAAATTCTGGGTTTTCGTGTCGTTGACCAGCACGACAAATATTTGGGAACGCCGTCATCTATAGGAAAACCGAAAAAGGAGATTTTTGCGTACCTTCGAGATCGGATCTGGGCAAAAATGCAACGGTGGGGAGAGAAGGTTTATCTAAAGCCGGTAAAGTGGTGCTAATCAAGTCGATCCTCCAGGCGATCCCTTCATATGTGATGGGTTGTTTCTTACTTCCAATTGGCCTTGTGAGGGAACACGAGGCAGCAATCCGTCGATTTTGGTGGGGAAACGGAACGACTAAAGGGATGCATTGGCTCGCTTGGAAGGAACTGTGCAAATCCAAAGAGAAAGGAGGGATGGGCTTTCGGGACCTTAGATCGTTTAATTTGGCGTTAGTGACCAAGCAAGCGTGGAGAATTCTTTCAAATCCGAATCTCTTGTTATCAAAGATTATGGCAGCCCGTTATTTTCCACATGGGAATTTCCGAGATGCGGGTATAGGCTACCGACCTTCGACGACGTGGCGGAGCATTTGGCAGACTCTTCCTTTTCTAAAGATGGGCCTTAGGAGACGGATCGGAAATGGGAACGACACTTCTGTCTGGGCAGATTCATGGCTTCGAGATGGAGGGAACTTTCGAATAATTACCAAGAGACCTGTATACTCGGCTTTTCCAAATAAAGTGGCAGATCTAATAGACAATCCGACAAATCAGTGGCACTTAGAGACTATACAAGAATGTTTTTGGCCGGTGGATGTTGGTCGTATTTTAGAAATTCCGGTGGGCAACAGCTTGGCCAGAGACACGTGGGCCTGGGGTCCCTCGAATAATGGCAAGTTCACGGTGCGCTCTTGTTACCACATGATTCTTGCATCTACTCAATCCTCAGATAAACGAAGTAGCGGGGGAAACGGTTCAAACATTGATGTTGACTCTTGTAAGTGGAATATTATTTGGAATCTTGAGGTACCACCAAAGGTTAAGGTCTTTTTGTGGAGACTGTGCAGCAATATATTGCCTGCGAACAAGAGCCTTTGTGGTAGAAAGGTAATTCTCTCACCCTTTTGTGGGCGATGTTAACGGGACGAAGAAATGACTTTGCACGCAATCATTAATTGCGGCGGAATGGATGACTGTTGGAGGTCTCTTTTACCTGAATATTATCACTATTTCGATCACACCTATGCATGGAACTGGTTGACGGGTTTAAAAGAGAATACAGACACAGATCAGTTTCTCGTTACAATGATTTTAGCATGGAAGGCGTGGGACAAACGAAACAAGGAACATAAAGGGCAGGCGAGCTTAACTCCTCCTGACTTGGTAGACTGGTGCAAAAACTACCTGGCCATACTTCGTTTGGCTCAAATTCACAAGATCTCTCCACAACGGTCTGTCCACACGAGCACGCGGCATCCTCCGCCAGTTGGTATTGTTAAAATCAATACGGACGCAGCAGTTTCTTCGGGGAATCTTTTCTTTTCCGTCCGGATAGTAGTGAGGAATGATGAGGGTCAATGCATTTGGTGGAGAGTGATTAAGTTACCCGGCAACTTACATCCTATAGAATGTGAAGCGACAGCAGCGCTCAAGGCGTTACTCTTGGCGCGAGAAAAAGGGTGGACAAATGTGGTGGTTGAGGGTGACAATCTCCAAGTTATCACAGTTTTATATCATGGCGAAAGAGATTTGTCGTCCTTTGGTTTATTGATAGATGAGTACTTGCGCCTTTCTCTAGATATAGAATATTGTTCTTTTAATTTCGTCAAGCTACGGGGAATTTGTTAGCCCACACTATTGCTCACTTTGATTGTAACTTTCTATCGGAGGGATTACTTTTACCCTCGATCTTGGCTGGTTAGCCGTAATACTAAACCTTATCTATATCTATACTACTTATAAAAGTGGAAATCATTGGATGGTTTCTTCCATTTTTTGTTATTCCAAAAATACCCTTCAAAGTTATAACTAATATGTAAAGCACACATCAAGGACAATAAAAAATAGGGTTAAATACACTATACCCCCTTAAAGTGTTGAATAAGTAGCAAACACCCCCCTAAACTACACCATGTAACATTTACCTCCCTTAAACTAACCATCGTTATTTCTTCTGTTAAATACAAATGATGTGGCAAGACGCCTATAACACAATAATTAAAATCCCCTAACTACCCACAGTTTATTTTAAGAAAATAAGTTTTACGTGACATTAGAAAATCAAATTATTAACATGGGAGTGGAAAGTAGTACAACCCCACTAACCCTATTATTTCTGCCATTTTATTTCGAAAACTACCCAAAATCTTTGTATCTATGCCGGCGGCATATCACCAAAATTCAATTCTACCGTGGCGGACTAGCTACTAGAAAGACAAGATTTTTTTCCTCATTCCTGCTAGTATTTTGTCTGGTAAACAGAGTCTTAAAAAGTTAAAAGCGTCGAGTCATGTTCTGAGTACTTGACTGTTGGGCACTTTATTTCAATATGTAGGGTATTTTTTAGGTTTTTGATTGTATTATGTTGGAAATATGTTTGTATAGGTTTTAATCAATTTTTGTTTGTATTTCCAACCCTTTTATAGTTTGTACCTTCATTGATACTTATATGATTGTGTTATTCTGTTTTAATAGTTAAATAAATATCTTATTATATAATTTAACTTTAATTGCATATCATTTTAACGTGGTTCCAGTTTGACTGAAAAACAATAATATATACCATTTGATGATCCAAACTTTTATAAAAGTGCATGCTTTTTTCGATGTATCTTATACATTGTGTAACTTTTGAGTATTTCTAATACAAAAAACCGAAAAACTGTTGAATATTTCTTTTTGTTTTGTTGTTTTATTAATTGGTTAATTTTTATGTATCTTTTGTGTTTCAGGAATATGGCAGTTGAATTATTCACTCTAAAATTCTATTATGGGGGACAATTTGTTACTATGGATTTCGGATCATACACTGGAGGTCAATGTTTTGCTAAAAATGAGATTGATCCTGACATAATCTCATACTTTGAGATTCTACACATTGTTAGGGAACTTGGCCACCCAGTGACTAGTGTCGTTTGGCTGAAGATTCCTCATAGTATGATCATAAGTGAACTTCGGTTAATTGATAATGATCAAGTGGTCCTCGACATGTTTACAATTCACAGGGCACATAGTTTGTTTGAGATTGAGCTGTATATTCAAGAAATAAATATTGAGCTTCATATGCTTGATGAGAGTGCAGCTGTTGTAGGTCATGATGGTGATCAAATTGATTTCGATAGCAATTGTGAGGATGAAGGGAGTGATCACAATGAAATGAACTCGGAGGATGGTGAAAATGAAAATAACCTAGTGTCTGAGTTTGATTACTTTGCAGAAGGGGATACATTGAGTGATTCAGATGATTCGGTAGAAGCACATACATATAATACGATAAATGAAAATGAGGGCATTGATATTTTATATGATGAAGAAAGTGAAAGTCAAAGTGATCCAGAGGTGTTACATAGCCCTAGTGAATCTGAAGGAGAGGAAAGTGTGAGGTTTCCTCAATTTGAGGAAAATAAGGATAATAGAAGACCTAAATTGACGGTGGGTCTTGTCTTTGCTGATGTTAAGGTGTATAGAAAAACTTTGAGGCAATATGTTGTGGATTGCGGTTTTGAATTGTCATTTGAAAAAAATGAGAGCGATAGAGTTACTGTTAAGTGTAAAAAAAGTTGCGGGTGGAGAGTCCATGCAAGTTTACTGGGTAAGTCAAGTTCTTTTCAGATAAAAACTATTAAAGGAGAGCCTCATAGGTGTCCAAGAATTTTTAAGAATAAGAGTGCAAATTCAACCTATTTGGCTGATAGATACATGCAAAGATTTGTGGATGACCCTAACTTGAGTCATAAATCCTTCATGACGCTTGTTAGAAAGGAGGTCAAAGTATATGCTCACAGGCAACAATTGTACAGAGCTAAGAGAAAGGCTATTGAGGCAATTCAAGGGAATGTGAAGGAACAATATTCTAAATTGAGGAACTACTGCAAAATGACTCTTTCAAAAAATAATGGCTCCACAGCAGTACTTCAGATCGAGGGCCCTCCGGTGTATAGAAATCCTACATTTAAGAGAATTTTTATCCTGTATGGAGCATTGAATGAGGGATTTCTTATGGCTTGTAGACCAATCATAGGCTTGGATGCTTGCTTTTTGAAAGAAAGGTATGGTGGACAACTTATGGCTGCAATTGCAAGGGATGGAAATAATCAAATGTTTCCATTGGCAGTAGCTGTGGTCGAAGTTGAATCTAAGGATAGTTGGTCATGGTTTTTACAGTTGTTGGTACATGCAATTGGCAACATTGAGGAGAGAAGATTGACATTTATATCAGATAGGCAAAAAGGGTTGGTTGAGAGTTTTGAACAAGTAATTCCTTCCGTTGACCACAGGTTCTGTGTACGGGATTTATATGCTAATTTCAAGCTGAAATTTAAGGACCCAACACTTAAAGATTTGATGTGGAATGCAGCTCGTTCATACTTAGAGGAGGGATATAATGAAAACATGAACTTGATCAAAGCAATTTCACAAGAAGCATATGCATGGCTGAAAAAGATCCCTCCTGAATTGTGGTGCAAGTTTAAAATGTCACCATTTCCCAAATGTGATATGTTGAGCAATAATTTATGTGAATCATTCAACCATTTCATCAAAGAGGCAAGGGAAGAACCTATATTGACTATGTTGGAGACTTTGAGGAGGCAGTTTATGTGTAGACTGCAAAAAAAGAGAGAAAAGATTGCACAATATAAAGGTACAATATGTCCGAGAATTCAAGATAAGGTGGAAAAGATGAAGGAGAAAGCAATGGATTTTGAAACTTATTTTTCTGGAAATGGAATCTGGGAGATTGTATCAGGTGCAAAATCTTATGTGGTTGATCTGAATAAACATAACTGCAGTTGTAGAGAGTGGGATCTAACTGGCATATACCATGTTCACATGCCACTTGTGCTATACTCACCGAACAAAAGTTCGTGGAAGATTATGTCAGCCCATACTATCATGTTAGTGCATACAAGATGGCATATCAATGTACTATTTATCCTGTCGGAGATCCAAAACTATGGAAAGTGGAAGAATCAGAAGCAATCATGCCTCCACCATACAAGAAACGGCCTGGAAGACCAAAAAAAATGAGAAGGAAAGGGCCTGATGAAATAGATAATGGAGGAAGAGTCACCAAGAGGGGCAGTTTTATGTCATGTTCTAATTGTGGAGAGACTTCTCACAACAAGAAAACATGTAAGAAGCCTCCAATGGAGAAACCAAGAAAGCAACATAAGGTAATATAATTTAACTTCTTTATACTTTATAACATACAAAGAATCTGACTCAATTTTAATTCTTTAAATACAGGTTAGTACAAATGTTGTAGACACCATCTTACCAACTCAACATTTTTTTACTGAAGCTCCTTCAGTCACAACTGGAAGAGGAACAATGAGGGGAAGAGGAAGAGGGAGAGGGAGAGGGAGAGGAAGAGAAAATGGATGGGGAAGAGGAAGAGAAAGAGGAAAAAGTAAAGAGAATGGAAGAATGAATCAGTTCAACAATCCAAATTGTGGTATCGGAAATTGGAATGGCATAGGAATGGCTACTCCAAATAACTTCATGCCTGTAAGTGTAAATCCCTTGAACCACCTAAATTATTATCACTCCTGCAATATTGCATTACTAATGGTATTTGATTCTTATTGTGCAGTTTCTTCCAATGGCAGAGGGTACTAGTAAAGGGATCACCACAAAAATGGTGATTGTGATCTCATCTTAAAACTGTTTATTTTTATATTAATCTTACTTATCAAATTAATTTAGTGTTTTGATGCAGTGGACTTCATATACACCTCCTAGTACATTACCAAGTTCATATGCTACCAGATCTGTTCCCAATGTGCAGGTCAAATTTTAATCCTTATTTGATCATTTGTATTTATATTCTTTCTTACCTAACTTATCTTGTTTCACGGCATTGATCAGATCCAGAGACAGTCAACTAGGTTTGGGGATGCAATTTTTTCGAGTCAATCTTCTCGTAATAATTTCACTGTTACAACAGATATTGGAGATGCTGAATTTGGGCTTTAGTATAAAAAGTTTTAGTATGTTTGGTATTTGGTTTTTTATTTTTTTCATTGTTTAGAGATTCAGTTATGTGAACTTATGATGGTGAGTGAAGACTTGTGAAGTCTGGTGTGTTTTCTTTTTTTTTTTTTTTTTTTTTTTTTTATTTGCAGTGTACTTTTGAATGTCATCAATGCTATTATTTATCATTTCTTTTGATATACTGTATATATGAATTGTTGATCTACTATGTTTATTGTTTATGGTATGTAATATCATTGGCATGTACAATATTTTTATTTAAATGTATTTTTTTACTGCATACGGTACTTTTTTTTTTATTTCTACTCCAATTTAATTTTAACTCTGTAATTAAAAAACAAATATATGTTCTTAAATAAAAATATTTTTCTAAATGTACTGAGTTAGTAGATAAAGAAATAGGACAAATATAAATAAAAAATATTTTAAGAAAATGGATGCAAAGAATCCTAAAATTCATTGACCTACGCAGCAACAAGGTTAATTTCGTCAAAAAAGAACCATGTGGTCAATGAAGACGTCAAAATGACCGATTTATTGCCATGTCATATATATTGGATTGCCATGTCACTTATAATGGATGGAGAACATAACGGTGGTTAGTTCAAGGGGGGTAAACGTTACATGGTATAGTTTAGGGGGGTGTTTGCTACCTATCCAACACTTTAAGGGGGTATAGTGTATTTAACCCTAAAAAAAAAAAAAAATAATAATAATAATAATAATAATAATAATAATAATAATAATAATAATAATAATAATAATAATAATAATAATAATAATAATAAACGAAAGCAAAAAAAAAAGAATTAGAAAAAGAAAAAAAAAAAACACTTTGCCCACTCCCCACTACTCCATACCTAATCCCTCATTAAAACGTACCATTTAAGCTTAACCTTTTTAATATAAATATACAAAATAAAATAAAAATTACAGGAAAAAAAAACCATTCACCCCACATCTAAATAAATTGACCTTCCACATACACTTTAATGAGTTATCATGGCTAAACTTCAACAATTACATAATAACCGAAACAAAAACGTATAATTGATGCATAGCATTCAATCATACAAAGAGCCTATTGATCTACTATATATTTCACCTTCAACATGTCCACTCCACCAAAGATAGATATAATATATCGGATATGGGAGCTCCGTGGTTGGTTTGTCCTTCTTGGTTCAAGTCCAATGTGACAAATTCTGGAAATTTGTGCTTTCTCATCAATTTCAACCATTTATTTTAAAATTAGATTCACTCTTAAGCTTTTAGGATATTTTGAATTTTACTTTTTGTAGTGACGAGTTATTAAAAAATAAGAGGTGCAAGTTATATCTATGATTTGGTGTTGTTTACAAAAATATATACTGATTTTCTATTTTAATTTGCTACGTGAATGTGTCCATGTGAGCATGAAATAAGTGCTTCATTAGTGACGGTTGTGGTCTAATATTAGTCCTATTTTTGACAACACCATATTCGTACAAGAAACTGTTAATCAAGAGGAAAAAGGCAAGAAAAAAAATGAGAAAAAAAAAAGGAAAGAAAAACACAAGAACATAGGTAAGATTGACGTAGCCAAACAAAATGTTTCTTCAATATAAAATTCACACACACAAAATGTATGCACATTTTGCATGTCAGGTTAGTAGTGACAAGTCCAAATAATTGCTAAAAAATCAACTTTCTTGAACATTAATTAATTGTCTTTAATTTCATATTTCGAATTTTGTATTCGGGTCGTTCTTGATTTCTGGAAGTTGCACGGATCCACACTTCTGGAAGTTTATGCATATGCCATCATTATATTTATTATTATTACATTAATACACTAATAAGTGAATTGGTGTTCATATGTTTAGTCTATTTACTATTATAAACTTCTCTGTCATCAAAAACTTAATAAAAAATATAAAATAACTAAAAACATTTACATAAAATAAACTACATAATATTTATAAAAAATCAAGTACAAAATATTTATAAGAATACGGAATGGAAGGAATCTTAATAATTGCGAAACAAACCAAAGAAATATTACTCTTAAAAACAATTAAAAAATTATAATTTCCATCGACTCTACACAAGCAAGTGTTTGTTTATAAGAAATGAGATAACTGAAGTTGAAAATAGGTAAGTAATAAATAATACGTTGCAACCAAAATTGAGAATGACTACTTAGGGAAACATGTAAATATCATCCAAAATTTTCAAAACAATGAGAAAATTAGCGGAAGAGTTGAAAAACAAAGCTAAAAAAAAAACTTTTTTAACAAAATATGAAAAGTAACTGTTAATTGAATCAGCACACAAAGTACAAATTTGTTAATGTATCATGTTATTAAATAAAATATGATTATAGGGCAAAAAATTAACAATGTAACGATATATTTATACATTTTATAAATGTAATAATATTATTTTGATAAAATACAGCACGCATGATACATAATTAAGAATGGCTTATTACAAATAAGTTTATCATGGGCTACTTATTCATAAGGGATCTAGACCAAAACCTCTTTTACTAAAAATCCAGACAATGTCAAGAGATGTGCAAAAGACTACCCCTCAGATTTTAATATGCCCCAATTTCATTATTTATTCCAATTTAACCTCAACTTGACCCCAAATTTTATCAATTATTTAATTTTGACCCCAACCTAATTTTGACTCCAATTTCAACCGTGTCCGCCGTTCACCGTCGGTCTCCGACATTGACATTTTTTTTTTTTTTTTTCTGCAGCTGGCGTTAGACTTGTTTTTTCTTAAAACCTTTTTTTCTGAACATTTTTTGACCCGTTTAAACAGTAGTATTACTGTGGTTGACTTTAATATTAACTATATTACTGTTCAACATAGTAATATTGCTATATTATTCTCTAGCTGAGTAATATCAACACAACAAAATTACTCTTATGGTGTAATACCGCATAGTAATATTAATATGTTGACCATTCAACAAAGGCAAATATAATAAAAGCCAAAAGAATTAATATTGATATGATTTGACAGTAGTATTACTGTCAACCACAGTAATATTATTGTGTTTACAATAATATTACAATAATAGACAGTAATATTATTACGCTTACCGCTCAACAAATCAAACAAAATAAAAATGCCAAAAATAAAATAAAATAATAATATTGATGGAGACAATATTACTGTGTTTACAGTAATAAGCCAAAAAAATAATAATATTAATATTAATGTGGTTGACAGTAATATTATTGCGTTTACAGTAATTGTACTATCAACGACAGTACAATTATAGTCTACAACATTATAATTACTGTCAACATTCAACAGCGGGCGTACACAAGAGAAAGTTGATAAAAAATTTCGAAAAAAAGTTTACGCCGATTAACGCTTCAAACCGGCGGCGTAACAAACAGACAAAAAAAAAACAATTGATAGTATAAAAAAGTGAACGTTAGAAACCGGCGGGAAAAAATTCAGGAAAAAAAGTATGAAAAAAGTCAAAATTGAATTTTTGTGGTCAAAATTGATGAAATTGAAGTTAAATTGGGGTTACAATTAGGAATTGAGTTTAAAGGGTTGAGGATAATTTTATCGTATACATTAAGTTTGCCTTTATTTATAATACATATTAAATGGATTGGCTTATTTACGAAAGAGATATAATACATAAACCTAGAATAATATATATAGTTAGTGAAGACATAGAAAAATAATACGACACGTGCAGCGCACGTGCAGCTTCCTAGTCTAAAAAAAAAGGGAATTTCTGAAAACTGACTATAGTATGCCGTGGATTTCCGTTAATTGCCTCAAATTTGGCAGCGAACTTATGAACATTGTGAATTTTAAAAAATATGAATTTTTGAAATTGGTTTAAAATTGACTGAAAACTTACAAATTTTTATTGAAAATTTGATAGGGAACTTTTGAAACTTTTCATTGGATTTCTGAACATTAGCAATGAACTTCTACAATTGAATATTTTGAAATATATATAGGTAAATTTTTGAATATTGATAGTGAACTTCCGAAAATAAAGTAACATAGTGGGATTTTTGGTAAAAAAAACAATCAAATCATAGGGGGTTCTTGCAAATAAAATAACATAGGGTAGGTTTTTTAGCAATGCAATACAATACATGGCTACTTACTGCAATAAACTCTATAATTGATAGTAAATAATAAATTATATAAAAATAGATGAATATAGACTTTTCATCCGAATTCTTTTTTTTTTTTGAGGGAAAATAGAGATATTATTAAATATTCATCACTAAACTCGGGGGGAGTATAAATCCTTCCAAGTCCATCATCTCGTACAACTTAGCCAACTCATGGGCAAGATGATTTCCAGTTCGTTTAATAAATTGAAAAGAGACACGATTGAAACCACGAGCGTAAGCAAGACATTGTTCAACAATTGCCCCAAACGGTGCTAATGGACATTCTCCCTCCATGAGAGCTGTCATCACTTGTAAGTTGTCGCCTTCAATAACTATGGTATTCCATCCCTTCTCCTTCGCAAGTTGTAGAGCATGAAGCACGCCAAACGTTTCTCCACTAGAAACAGGTGGGCGGCCCAACATTTTCCAGATTTTCCACCATAAACATTCGCCGTTGCAGTCACGCGCCACCATTGCGGTTATGTAGAAATTCATTCCAGTAGGGAAAGCTACATCGACATTTATTTTGATAACACCCTGGTCTGGGGGCAGCCAGGACGAAGGATGAGTGGTTATATGGCCCGAATGAAGCGACTTGTTCGACTGTTGATAGAGGTTTAGGTAGTCCCTGGACCAGCCTACGATAGTCTCCACGTCCATCCGTTCTTCTCCATGCATAAATTTATTTCTCAAGTCCCATAATTTCCACATCACGATCATAGCCAACCATATTTGTTCCTTCGTAAGAAGATTCCGCAAATATTCTAGCCAGCTATCCAAATTCGGGAATGATGTCTGACCCATTACCTCGAACGGCCGATCAATCCAAACCTGCTTAATGTGTCTGCACTCCAAAATTGTGTGCATGAGAGTCTCTGCTTTTCCACAGAGGGCGCAAAATGGGTTTGTCAGAATCCTCCTTCGAAATAATTCCGCGCTCGTCGGAAGAATGTTCAACCGAGCTCTCCACAAGAAGATACGAATTTTTGGTGGGATTTTAGCCGTCCAAATCCATCTCGCCAAGTTTGATTCTCCGCTCATTTTTGCTTGGCCGCTGCCCGCCTCATTCTGATGTCCGATTCCTAAAGAGGTCAAGATAATATTATAGCAAGAGTTAACCGTAAAATTACCTTTCGGAGCATAGTGCCAAATAGTCCTGTCATTGGTATTCGGACCGCCAATAGAAATCGAAAGAATTCGGTCCCGGTCCACCGTCCAAAAATATTGATTAATGAGCGAGACATTCCAGGTGTATGAGTGTGGATCGATAATATCGGCCACTACATTCGGAAATGAGCTCTCCCTTGGACATTTTGTGATGATTCTCATGTTACCGTCCTCCTCAATCCATTGGTCTCCCCATATCGATGTCGATCTACCATTACCAATGCGTCGTCTTAAGCCCATTTTCAAGTACTGCCTCGCCGCAAGGATGCTCCGCCAAGTGGCTGATGGCCGTGAACCGATAGCCGCCGAGAAGAAATCTCCACTAGGGTAGTACCTGGCCTTTAAAATTCGAGATAAAAGAAGATCCGGTTGAGAGATTATTCGCCATCCTTGTTTAGCCAAAAGAGCAAGATTGAAGCATTCCATATCCCGAAAACCCATCCCTCCTTCACCCTTTGGTAAGCATAGTTTTTTCCACGGTAACCACACCATTCCTTTACTAGAGCCGTTGCCCCACCAATATCGCCTCATTTGTGATACCATCTCGCCAAGTAAACGCTTTGGAAGAAGGAAACAACTCATAATGTAAGTGGGAATCGATTGGAGAACCGACTTGATCAACACTTCCTTACCTGCTCTCGACAGGAGCTTCTCTCCCCACCCATTAATTTTGTTCCAGATTCGATCCCTAAGAAAACCAAACACCTCTTTTCTAGATCGTCCCATCGAGCACGGCATTCCCAAATACCTCTCATGCTTTTCCACAACCTTAAAACCAAGAATATTGCTCACTGAATCCTTGATGTCTTGAGGGGTCGAAGGACTGAAAACCACAGTGGATTTGTCGAGGTTGATTTCTTGTCCTGACGTTTTAGCATACTTCTCGAGAATTGATTTCAGAGTTATAGCATCCTGATTAGTGGCATTAGAGAAGAAGAGCGTGTCGTCGGCACAGCACAAGTTCGAAATGACCGGGGCCGTAGCTGCTACACGAATGCCGTGGATGCTTCCCTCGTTAACCGCTTTGGTAGTCATGGCAATTAAAGCCTCGGTGCAGCAAACAAATAGGTAAGGGGAAAGGGGGTCCCCTTGTCGAAGTCCTCATGATGGCGAAACGGAGCCAAATTGAGAGCCATTAAACAGAAATGCATAAGAAACAGATGAGATACAGATCATAATAAGATCAATAAAGGAAGAAGGTAAACCAAATCGATGCAGAATTTTCCGAACAAAACACCATTCTATCCGATCATACGCTTTACTAATATCGAGTTTAACAGCCATAAAATGCCTACGGATATTTGAGTTTGTTTTAATGTAGTGGTTTACTTCGAAAGCAACAAGAACATTATCTGTGATGAGACGATTATGAACAAAAGCGGACTGGGTAGGCGAAATAAGATCTTTAAGGACCAATTTAAGTCGATTAGCTATGACTTTAGACCCAAATTTATAAATGACGTTGCATAAGCTAATAGGTCTAAAATCAGTGATACGCTCGGGTTGTTTAGTTTTGGGAATAAGAACTATGTAAGTGAAGTTAAAGCGAGGAGGAAGAACCAAATTTCAAAAGTTCCAAATTTCAAAAGTTCATTTTTTTGAATTTGTTTTCCAACTCGTTTTGGAATAACCAAATCATGGGGCAAAAATAGAATTAATTATTCCCTTAAATAAAAAAAAGATTTTTTTTTTACTGATTTCAATCTGACCCGTCCAATTTTCACCCATATATATATATATATATATATATATATATATATAACACAATGTCATTTGTTAAAGTACTCAACTTTCAAAGGTTTGCAACCTGTTTCATAAGGCGACTAACATTTTTAGCCAATTTAATGTCATCTTTTTCTTAAGACACTCAGTTTTCTGAAGTTCATTTCAAGTTTTATAAATTTGATATCATATTTTTGTTACAATACTCAATTGCAGCACTACTAATTTCAAGAAGTTATCTGCCATATTTTGTTAGAACTCAATCTTCGTTATCATTATTATTGAAAAGTTTATTAACAATTTTCAGAAGTCTACTATCATTTTTCATATTATTACTACTATGTTTTGTTAAGAATACTAAATTCATAAATTCACAATCCACAATTGCCAATTTTCATCAATTTCTTCTGCATAGATTAAACTTCGACAACACCTAATGAAATATGGACGAAGAAAACACAAAACTAATAGCTACAAATCAACATCATATACACGGTTATGCTACACAAAAAGTAAAATAAAATTGTAAAGCAGAAACAAAAACGATTTGTAAAGCAAATATTTTTACATTTTAGTTTCACACGTCGAAAATATTTTGGACATGAAACTCGTCGACACTAGCTAGAAATAATTTGAGCCCTTTATGTATTTTTTGAAAAAAAAAATCAATGGAAAATAGCAATGAATAAGTATAATCTATAGATCATAAAATATAATATATGATCTATAATTTATAAATATACCCCTATAATTTTATAAATTACACATTTAAATATGTTCACGTGTCATAATTTTTGTAATAAATCGTTTCCCATATATATCCGTTTCCGTATTTTGTCTTTTCCGCGTTCCCGTGATTCTGCGGCGTAAAAGAGCATCTAGCATCTTTGTTCAGAGATTGTGTAATTGAATTTCTTACTCACAAAGTAACCAACACTTGTGTAAATCAAAATCTCACACAAGCTCCAATTGATTATCCATACAAATTTTGCTCACTCAAATTTACAAGGCATTTATAGTGTGGCTTGGTTCAACATTAAATGACAAAGTTGACTGTTTTATTTAAGCAGAAAAAAAGTCATTATAATTATATCCCCACTTATTCCAATTCTATAGTTCTCTTTTATGATTTTGTTCTTCACATATTGATTGAGTGCAGCCTTTCCCATGGGCAGGAAGAAGCTTCCGATGAGGCGGATTGAGAACCCTACCTCCCGTCAAGCAACATATGCTAAGCGCAAAGATGGTATCTTCAAAAAGGCCAACGAGCTCTCCATTTTGTGTGATACCGATGTTGCCCTCATCATGTTTTCGCCCACCGGCCGCCTCACCAGCTTCTCTAGTACCGGAAGGTTCGTGTATATATATATATATATATATATATATATATATATATATATATATATATATATATATATATATATATATATATATATATATAAGGCCTTTTTACTTAATTCTAATTTTAGTTAGAGTTTTTGTTTTTGTTAGTATAAATTTATGGATCTTAGGTAAAGTTTTCGAAATTTGGAATTTTGGTCCTATATGTTGGTGTATTTAGGGATTTAGTCCTATAATTTGTCTTATTTCAATTTTACATGTGATAATTATGCAAAATTAGTTTTTTTAGTCCTGTTTTACTCGAACTTTGAATTTTAACCGTCGTTTAATGATGTGCCTAACAAATTCGCAGAAATTTATTTATATGGACACTTAAAAATTATAAACGCTCCTCTAATTTGGTTTATAGATGTGTCGTGTCATATGATTAAAGTTCTACCAATGGTAAATTAGATGTCGAATTTATCTATTTCCAAGCGTCCATATAAATAAAATGCGTCATGTTTATTTGTCGCGTCATAAAATTAAAAATCATGCAAAATAGGACTAAAAATACTATATTTGCAAAGTTATTGCATGAAAAACTGAAACATGACAAGTTAGAGGATGAAATTCCTAAATTGGCCAACATAGAGGACCAAAACTACAACTTTCCCTAAAGTTTTGGTGTGTATTTTACATCACTGAAAATTAAAGTCATAAGTTCCCCCTTCTTGTTATTCGAAAAAATAAATTTCATTGCATTATACGTGTTTTCCTAAAATAAATATAAATTCCTAGCTTGGAGAAAATAAGTGCTTATGAGAAGAAAACTAAAAGAAAAAAAATGGTAACAAAAACTTAAAAACTAGGAGGCCGATTTTTGTTTTATTTTTCTTTTCCCCTAAAACTAATAGATGGGGGGAGATATATTTTTAAATTTTTGATTTGTTTAGGGGTAAGATTTGAAGAGTTAAAAAAATATCTTCAACATTTACTAGATGAAAATTGATTTGTGAATCAATGAGTTATTTATTTATTTATTTATTTTTAATTTTATTTTTGTCGATGAAAATTGGAACTTACATTGAGTTTTGTTCAGTAGGGTTGAGGACATCTTTCTTAGGTTTGTTGACAGGCCTGATGAGCTGAGAGGAGGGTATGTGTGTCGACTTTCACTCGTATTTTGATCGAAGGATTTGAATTTACGAGAATGATTTGATGATTTGTTTTTTAATAACTAATAATTATTCGCCACAATTACTCAAAAATCAGTTCAAATTCAAACACTTCAATCCAAATGAAATGAAGCATTTATTTATTTCGTTGTTTGCTTTGGTTTTGAACATTTCGCTAAGATTGTGTTTTTCTTCGCATGCAGGCCGATTAATAATGAAGAGGTATGTACATACGCAATAAACTATTAATGAATTTAGATTCGAACAAAATTATTCCGGAAAAAAATAAATATTTGCTAATATATTACACCTACATTTGTATAGTTTTTATCTGGAAAGCTAAAGCAGTTGAAGTACGAAGCAATAATGCTGGAAAAGATAGCCATGTAATTCCCTTTCCTTATTTCATTTTATCATATATAAATCGACATATCGATCGTGGCATTATGTTGTTTATTGCGACAGTTCTAATAACATTTTCGTTTGTTTCACATAAAAATTCCCGTACGTGCTCTCTCGTCTACTGTTGATCAACAACTTCAGTATAGAGGTAACACTGGATTTTATTTTCCTATATAGTCTCAATTAAATTATATTAATTCAAATATAAATATTCTATACCCTTTTTTTTTTTTTTTTTTTTTTTATATCATAATACTGTAATGAAGAACCACGCATATAAATCATGATAAAAAAAAAATAAAATGCTTCATGCAGTAATTTGAAAAACAAATTACGATCTTATTTTTCTTTAATAATGTAGCAAAATTCCGAAATATTTTATGTATGTATATATATATATATATATATATATATATATATATATATATATATATATATATATATATATATATATATATATATATATATATATATATATATATATATATATATATATATATATATATATATATATATATATATATATATATATATATATATATATATATATATATATATATATATATATATATATATATATATATATATATATATATATATATATATATATATATATATATATATATATATATATATATATATATATATATATATATATATATATATATATATATATATATATATATATATATATATATATATAGTTAGTTTTATCTTCACGTGAATGTATGAATTATGCTAAAATTCATTAAGTTCAGGATCTTGAAGACAAGTTGGATAAACTCAATAGAAAACAACGCGAGTCGCAGGATAAATTGAGGTTAGAGATCGATGATATATGAAGTTTCATCGTTTAATTATTTGTTTCGTTATTATGAGTTTTTTATGATATAATTGCATATGAATAAATGATCAGCATTCCTTTTCTTATAATTTTATATTTGTTTTGACAGGTATTATGAACCTAATGCAGACAAAATCACTTCAGTTCTTGAATCTGGAGTCTACCAGCATTTCCTTACTAGCGCAATTCAGCGCATACAATTGTCGAAGGTTAGTTTTTCTGTCTTATATTTTAGACTGTCCGGATAAAATATTATCGTAAAATTTATACACAATTATATATATGTGTGTGTGTGCGCGCGCCATTTGGGCTTGTGCTAGCGCGAGTTTAATTTCTGTGTTTTTTTTTCATTTCTTGAAAATATTCTATCTAATATGGACTTGGTCGATAAATGAAAGAGGATTAGACCTATATTTATCAATTACTCAAAACAATAAATGCAATATTAATAACAAAATTTGTTAGTGACATCATCGAAGTTGTCACTAAATTTAGGTATTAATTAACTCCCAAAATTAGTAACATATGTAAGCAATACATATATATATATGATGAAAATTGTAATTGGTATCACCAAAATATTTATTCTAAGAATTGTGTATAATTACCATTGTTACCAATTATTAATTTTAAAATGATGATCTTGAAATAGATGAAAATGAATCATTTAGTAGTCATTTCTTGTTTTAATTATTACTAAATTTTGATGTCCAAACAAAGGTGTGAATTGTAATGAAAAACCTATTTGAATTCATGCATGACCTTTTACTCATTCTTACATCTTTGTAGGCCAAACTGCTAGGAAACCAACTTGTTCCCGAAACCACCGAAAATGTTGAGGTAATCTCCTTTTTTTTTTTTTTTTTTTTTTTTTTTTTAAATTGTAATGCATAACATCAAATATTCCATTATTAGTTTCTTAATTAGATGTGAAGATGTATACAACCTTAAGGGTGAAATTTCGAATAAAATTTGTGCCTCCGATATAAAACAATTCACTTTCAAACAATTATTTTTCGTTCGCTACGAAAAAAAAAACAAAAAAAAAAACAAAAAACACATAGATATGGTGATAGTATGAAAAATATGATTTAAGTATTATCTTATGTGATTCTTTTTTTAGTTTTGCTGATAATTCTAATCTGTTGTCACTGATTTTTTTAAATCACTATGTTGAATAGTAACATGACTAGGCGATAGCTTTATGACAATTTCTTTTTAAGATACTGTGTTAGATTATTAATACTTGTTGCTTTGAACATCATTTGTTGTTTAAGTGACAGATTTTATTTTTTGTCACTAATTGGTTTTTTTTTTGTTGGTTTTTTGCCAATGTTTTTTATGTCTTTACTGTATATATTGAATTAGAATTAGTGATATGGCTATAGTGACAAAAATCATTAGTATGTTGTCACTCTAAAGATTATTCGATGAAGTTATTTCATTCTATTCAATATCTGGTTTAATTCGAACATTTTTAGAATTAAATTTGAATTAGTTTATCACTTTTGAAAAAAATATATATTTTTTTTCCCCAAAAATGCTAATTTCCATATGATCCAATCATCAGTTTTTTCGACCCGTAATATATACTCATAAAACTAATCAGTTAAATTGCTAATATAGTTGCAGGGAAACACAACAGTCCAGATGGAGGATACAACTTCCGTAACCGACCAGTCCATTGATCGGAACAAAAACGGGTACATATATATCTTCGCATCCTTTCCATTTTCCTTGACAAATCAAATGTATTTCCAATTTTAATTAGGCAAAGCTTCTTCATTTCTTCATTTGATTTATATAATAATTTGTTGTTTTGGGTCCTAATAAATTTTAAACTTGCAAACATTTTTTTCCTAATTCAAAGACAAAAAATAAACTAATTAACTAGAAAATTATAAAGGGTAGAGTCATCTTTTATTATTATTTATTTTTTTATCATTGCAATTTTCACGAAAGAAATTGTAAAATATTGGTTTGCAGGATGGATGAAGATGAAAGTGGGAAAAGCTTATCAATGGGACCTCATCTAAGCCTTAGCTTCATTGAAGCACAAAGGAAATTGAATAATCAGTTGGCCGCCAGCAGCGACCATAGTACTTCAAGTTTCAATAACTATTAAAGCACACATATATATATCTATAATAATATATGTGAAAATAATAAACTACATTTTTGAATATTATTTGTGACCAGATTTTGTCACTTGAATTCGTTACGTGTGTTGAACGGGTTCTTATATACCGTAAACCTTGTGCTTTTGTGAAGCAAATCAACATTGCAATAGATTTATGGCTTGACAAATAAATTAGTTTTACAGTACTTTTAACCCCTCTCTCTCCCTCTCTCTCTCTCTCTCTCTCTCTCTCTCTCTCTCTCTCTCTCTCTCTCTCTCTCTCTCTCTCTCTCTCTCTCTCTCTCTCTCTTATATTTTGTGTGTGTGCACGCGTGGGGAAATTAATACAGAGAACTTTCGCTGGGCAAAGCTTGCCAAGTTTAAAGGAAAGTTGAAATCTTCATTATAATAGATATCATCCGACTCTGCGATAACATTAATTAGGTAGACCATTTCCCGCATGTTTAAAAAACGAGAAACACATTTGTTAACGAACACAAAAAATTCCTCAACAAGTGCACCAAAAGTAGTAGGTGTATTGCTGATTCAATCTCCTGGAGCAGCCCATTATGTAACACGGCTACTCGTCACATAAGTGGGAATAATTTGGGCGATCCCATTTATTAAGACTTCTTTTCTAGCCGGCGGTAATTACTTCTCACTCCACCCCTTGATTTTTGCCCAAACCATTTCATGAAATTAGTTGAAAATCTCTGAAAAAATTTATGCTCCCGAATTCGTTTAATACAGAGGTGTTATCTTAAGTGTTGTGACACTTGAACAAACATGCAGCGGAAATATAAAAACAAAAAGACAATATTCAGATTTAAAAATGTTCACAAGTAAAAACTTGTGAACTTGTCCTTTACAGGACGGAAAAATTATATTAAAACAGTATTCTAAGAATACAAATGGAAAATGTACGAAAACTTCTTCCTTATGAATGAATATTTCTCATGCTCATTCTTACATTCAAATCTAGAAACAAAAAGAGAAATATTAAAAATTCTAGATTTCAAAGAATGTACTCGTGAGGAGTACGTAAAGAACTTATGAATGAATCACTATCTTGATCATTCTTACAACCAAGTCTAGAAACATATATACTAAACAATCTAGACTACAAAGAATGTACTTATGAGAAGTACGTAAAGAATGTACTCATGAGGAGTACGTAAAGATTGTACTCATGAGGAGTACAACCAACCGATTCTAAAAACACACTAAAACACTCATGTAATCTTTTCAGCTCTCGGTGTTTATTTCTTGGAATCGATCCATTTCCTTGAGTATTGAAATCGGTATTTATAGAAATTTCAAGCTTCCACTCCTCAGCCCATGATCTGCAAGAAAACCAACTACAAGAGCACTCAAGAACATGGGTTAGTGGGTTAGTTTAGTAGTTAAAAAAAAAATTCACAATTTAATCCACTAAGCACTACTTAACCCACTAAGTATTATACTTAGCCCACTAAACACTACTTAGCCCACTAAGCACTTAACCATAACTAAAATTTAGTTGGAAAATAAGAAAGTTAAAAACAATATGTGAAAATAATCCACGTGTTTCAAACTCCCCCTTTTTAACTTTCTGATCAAAACTAAATTTTAGCTTAACTCCCCCTGAGTCATTGCTTGAACTCCCCCTAAATATGATAACCAATATAGCAAATAAAAAAATAGTGCAATCCAAAGTCTCCTCAGTATCAGCTGTTGTTCCTCCATCACTAGTACTGGATCCACTACTTTCCTCTGCTCATTCAGCTTCACCTTGCTTCAACTTCATGACCAGCTTGTTCTCCCCCTTTTTGATCAGAAAGAGCTCTCTGAAGCATTCCCACCATGCACTGATGATAGGTGATCTGAACTAGGGAGTGAGTAAGCTGTTTTAACAAAAAAAATCTCGAGAAACAGAAATAAGGATGTCAGGAGTGTTGTCAACATGAGGAGCAACACCTTCAGTACCAAGATTATTTTGATATGATTCAGTTTAGAGAAAATTATCTCAATTCCAGGGAAAATCTTGGACATGAGAAGCTTTGAGAAAATTTTGAGAAACAGTTATCATGCCAAGTGGAGTGTGAAGATGTTCTGATTCATCTTGGCCCAAATTTTGAGAAAACAGAATGGAGTAGATGAGAGAGGGATTTAAAACGATTGCCAGAAAGAGTCTTACAAACTTCAGTAAAATCACCATAATTATCCTCATCAATCACAGTAGGAGTTTGTAAATGAGAGTTGATAATTTTGGGAGAAAAAGAGAAAATAGAATTTCGCACAAAAACTTTTCCAAAGTGTGGAGAATTTTTAACAAAAAAAGTTTGTAAATTGGCATAAACATTCCTTCACAACAGAAGGATCATAAGGACAGGCAACCTCAACTAGACTAAGGATTTTTCTTTGATCAAGAAAGGCAGTGATCCTATGTCTATCAAACTCATCCTTGGAAATTTTCTTTTCCTCAATGAATTGGCAATTCATAATTTGAGGACTCAAATTTGAATCAGATTCAAAATAAAATGTAGGACTGAAGGCATTGTTTACCTCAAAAGGAGTTGACAGATCCTTCCCATCCAAGTCTAGCTCTTCTTCCTCAGAGGATTCCTCCTCTTCTGAGTCTTCAAGTTTATCCGGGATGTATGCTGGCTCAGGTGATGCAACAGGTGGAGCAGCATCTTCTTCCATCTGAGATGAGTCCTCGGAAGAATCACTGTCTGACTCTGAGGATGGCAAATTCTTGCGAAAAGAGGCAAGGGCACTTCCCAACTGTCATCACTTTTCTCTTTCTCTTCAACCTGGGAAGGTGGTGCATCCACTTGAACAGCTGCCTCTGCCAGAGTTTCCAGAGGATCTTCATTTGGAGCTGAGGATGTAGGAAGTGAGGTTTCTTCTGTGGTGGCAAAGTCCTCGGCATCAGCAGTGGGGATATCTACATGCTCAGCAAAGGACATCCCAGAAAAGTCTGTCATTTCCTCATCTTGATTAGCAGCAGCATCCTCAGCAACATTTTGAGAAGCATTGTCTGAGACAGTAGGTGCTACCGCATTTTCAGGAACATGTGCAGCAACATCTTCGGAAGCAGGATGTTGAGAAGAGGCTGCTGCCATGTTAATTTGAAGTGTCTCCCCCTGAGTTGATGCTTGTGGAGTCGAGTCTTTGGAAGATGACTCACTGGAGCTTGAGGAGAGAGCTTGGGCTTCTGGTTCTGCAAAGATAGGATCTCCTTCTTATCATCTGTTTCTTCATCAACCAAATATAGACCTCTAGGGGGATTTGGTCTCTGATGTGCCGAATTTCCTCATGTCTCTGCTGCCTCTTCTTCCACATCTGTCGCATCTGCTTGTGAGAATTTCCTCCCCTTCGGCGTTGTGACCCAGTAGCATTCAGATCTGGGAAGGGATTCATGCGCTTAGATCGGCGAGTAGGAAACCTCCCTGGAGTGGAAGAGGGACCCGGGTTCTGAAAAACGTCTGGGTCAATCGGATTCAGCTCGTCGCCGGGCCCAATGAAGCTGATCGGCCTGGCTTCAAGGTTGACAGGATGAACGATGATGGCTAGATTAGGGTCTGCTGGTTCAGGTGCTGCAGCATCGTTGTGCACATCATCAACGGCTGGAAGAGGATTTCTAGGAGAAGATGCCATGATACAGTAGATAAAAAATTGCTTCTTGAGCTTTTGATTTTTGAGTGTGAATTTTCGAAAAAGAAGCACGAAATTTATAAGCCCTAATTTTTGAAAAAAAATTGAAGTGGAGAAGGTGAAGAAGTGGTGTGCGTTTTTCTTGGAGAAAGTGTGATTAAGGAGAATAAAAGGTCTATGTGGCAGTTTAAAACAAAACGTGACACATGCCACAATAAGGAGTGGACTTAGTGGAAGATAAAAGACTAACCCATGTACCCCATGACCCATATAAATAGTGATAATTCAATGATAATAAAAATAATAGTAATAATAAAAATAATAGCACTCACGAAATTTACACTTAAATAATAAACACATCTTTTAATGATTAATAGTGTGAGAAAAAAAATTGGCTAAGAGGCATAGATATATATATATTTAATTTATTTATTTATTTATTTTTTATTTTTTTATTTTTTTTTAAACTCTTATTTTCAAGTCAAACAATTCACATGGAACATGATTAAGTGTTCAGTTTGAAAGTTCCTCAGTTACTAAGATATGACTATTCAGATAGAGGAGTTTGACTTATGTGATTATAATTGTTCTCTGAATGTTTACATGAAGCATGATCACGTTTCAAGGTGAAAGACTTCCAGTTACTTATTTAGAGAATAATCTATCACAGTGAAGCCATTATTTAAAGAAGCTAAGCTTCAGTAAATTATGTTGCAACTTAAGATGTTTGATGAGGTGATGCAACATATTTCAGGACATGTTTATTGAGTACACATCCCGAGAGATTTTCTGAGTTTAGAAAACCTCTCATAATCTAATGCCTTTGTAAAGATGTCAGCCAGCTGATCTTCTGTAGGAATGTACTTTAAGCACACTATATTTTTCTCAACTATATCACGAATAAAATGATGTTTAATATCTATGTGTTTAGTTCTTGAGTGTTGAACAGGATTTTTTGAAATATCAATAGCACTTGAATTATCACAATATATGGTCAGGGTGTCACTGGTTAACCCATAATCCCCCAACATTCGTTTCATCCAAATTAGTTGACCACAACATCCTCCAACAGCTACATATTCTGATTCAGCTGTTGAAAGTGATACACAATTTTGTTTTCTATTAAACCATGAAACCAGATTATTTTCCAAAAAGAAACTTGCACCTGATGTGTTTTTTCTGTCACTAATATCCCCAGCCCAATCAGAATCACTAAAACCTATCAAATTAGTATTAGTGTCTTTGAAAAACTGAATACCTAAATCTACTGTACCTGCAACATACCTAATAATCCTCTTCACAGCTTTAAGATGAGTGACTTTGGGATTAGCTTGATACCTGGCACACACACAAACACTAAACATAATATCAGGTCTGCTTGCAGTTAGATACAGAAGGCTTCCAATCATGCTTCTGCATAGGGTGCTGTCAACATCTTAAGCAACATCGTCCTTGAACAGTTTTTGACTTGAACCCATTGGAGTTTTCATGGCTTGGCTGACTCCAACTCAAACCTTTAGACCAGATTGAGAGCATACTTCTTTTGATTTACAAAAATTCCTTCACCTGTCTGTTTGATTTGGAGTCCTAGGAAGTAATTCAACTCTCCTACCATGCTCATTTCAAAAGTGTGAGACATAGAATCTACAAAAGACTATAAAAGGTTAGCACAAGTAGAACCAAAAACAATATCATCAACATATATCTGTACAACAATGATATGGTTACTTGTTCTTCTACCAAATAGAGTTCTGTCTGCCTCTCCTCTGGAAAACTGTATTTCAAGTAAGAAGTCAGTGAGTCTTTGATACCAACATCTAGGAGCTTGTTTAAGACCATGCAGAGCCTTCTTAAGCTTGAACACTTGATTAGGTTTGGCATAATCTTCAAAACCCTTAGGCTACTCTACATATGCTTCTTCATTTAGAACACCATTTAGAAATGCACTTTTGATATTCATTTGATACAATTGTATTTTAAGAAAACAGGCTATAGCAAGAAGTAACCTAATAGATTCAATTCTAGCTACTGGAGCAAAGGTCTCATCAAAATCTATACCTTCAATCAGAGTATAACCTTGTGCTACTAACCTAGCCTTATTTCTTACAACTGTACCTTTTTCATCAGTTTTGTTTTTGAAAATCCACTTAGTTCCTATCACATTTACATGACTTGGTCTGAGAACTAAGTACCAAACATCATTTCTGATGAACTGATTCAGTTCTTCATGCATTGCATTGATCCAGAATTCATCCTTCAGAGCTTCTGCAATATTCCTTGGTTCAACTAAAGACACAAAGCAAGTAGTTCCAGTTAGTGCACATTTAGAAGATAAATTTGCAAATCTTACCATATCTCTGTAATTCACTTTCTCTTTTCTTCTGGTCCTGATCCCATCAAAGATATCTCCCACAACTTGAGTAGAGGGATGATTTTTCTGGATTCTACTTGATGGTTCCTTTCTGCAGACATCATGGGTTGGCTGCATTTCAGCTTCTGTGCTCTCTGTAGGAAGTGTTGGGTCAGATTTGATCACACTTGGCTCAACACCCTCTTTTCTTGACACTGGACTGTTTATATCTGGAGCATCTGTGGCAGTAGTGTCTTCTCCCGTTGTTTCTCCTTCAACAATGGGGTCATCAACTTCATCTTCAGCTATTTTACTGCGGAGATCAGCAAAATCATCAAATACCACATTTACAGATTCAATAATGGTTTGAGTTCTTAAGTTATATACTCTATAAGCATGATTGTTATTAGAGTATCCGACAAATAAACTCAAATCACTTCTTGAATCAAATTTATCTAGATGATCTCTATCATTTAGGACATAGCAAACACATCCATACACATGCATGTATTCTAGATTAGTTTTCTTACCATAAAGAATTTCAACACACACAAATATATATTTTTTACCACCTAGACTTTCTACCTTTGTAGGACCCATAAGGTCCATATGTACAAGTTCAAAATAAGTGGTGGTACCAACGTGGTGTAATACTTTGTGTGGCACTCTAGTTTGATTTCCCTTCTGGCACATCCCGCATATAGGAATGTCCTTGATCTTGAGATCATGAATTCCTCTTATGGCATTGTACTTGTTGAGCAGCTTCAAATTTTTGAAGTTTCTGTGCCCTAGTTTCTGGTGCCACAGCTCAACTTCACTTCCTCTTGAGCTCTTGCATGAGATGGTATCACCTGTTTGATAACAATTATCCATTGACCTGGAACAGATGAGATTTGACCCCAATCCTTCAACATGTAAGACATTTGAAAGTTTTGGAAGTCCCTCAATACTGAGTGTTCCACGTCCAACCACTTTGCCTTTAGCTCCTCCTCCATAGGTTACACGTCCACCATTGAGTGTATGGTAGTTTGATAGAAACTCTTTAGTTCCAGTCATGTGCCTAGAGCATCCACTATCAATGTACCATGAACCTGAAATGTTAGCATTTAAAGAAGTGTATACTGCTTTGCACATAAGTTTACCTTTGGGAGTCCATATTCTACACTCCTTTTTGCTCAATTATACATTTTTCTTGGAGGTGTTCCCTGGAGTGATGTGACTCATCCTATACAACATTTTGTCACTACTTAGTTTCTCACAAAATGGACGGATATGTCCTGGTGAGAACCAGTAATGACAAATGTATCCCCTTATTCTGGACTCTGGAGTGGTGACTGTGGAATTTCTGCATTCTTTTCCATTTGAACCCTTCTCTTTTACAAAGACAATCTCCTTCTTCTTTATTGGCTTGTTTTTCACTTGTTTTTTGAACCCTAGACCTTCATTTTTGTTGTACTTCTCCAGTGACACAATCTCTTTGAGTTTAGTTGTGCCGGTATTCATCCTCTTGATTGCTAGAGTTGTTTCTTTGAGTTCATCTTTCACCTTTGCCAATTCAAGATCCTTCTTAGTGATACCAACCTCCAAATGTGTGATTGTTTCTTTAAGGGAAGAGTTTTCCTTGTTGGCTGCATCTAGAGCTTGAGTCTTCTTCTCCAAGTCAATAACCAATTTCTTACACATTTCTTCCTCATCACTAACTGCTTCTTTACTGGATTCTGCTGCATTCAAAGAAATAGAGTTTAAACATGTATAATGATCAGTATTCAACTCAGAAATTTCAGTTACTGAAAGTGTTTCAGAAAGTGTTGCAGCATCTAGAGAAACTCCTTGTGATTATGTTTCAGAAGCACTTCCAGTGATATATCTGACAGAAAGAGCTTGTTTAGTAGATTGATGCTCCTCTGTCTGTTCAGGTTGCTCTTCCTCCTCATCACTGACAGCACAAATCAATCTCATTCCTCTTCTTCTCAAGGTATTTGCACATTCCTTAGCATAATGTCCAAATCCTGAATAGACCCTGCATTTAATATGATCCAAGTTAGGTGGTTCAGAATTTGAACGAATAAATGAAGAATTTTTTAAAGTGTTTTGAGAAGATGTTTGAGGAAATGTTCTCTGTGGAATAG